AACCATAATGATTCTATGATTCTTTGGGGACCAAGTCCAGACCAAAGGGTTATTTGAATGCATAGTGTCAGATGAGACAATAATAGGAATTGGGTGCTGCTGTGGTGATTGGTCATTTAACTTCCATTAAAGATACGCATTTTTCCACTGTAACCACTCTCTCTTTTCTGGTGGATTTGTGATAAAGCAGTCACACACCAACAGGGTGCATAGAGATTCATGTGCATGGTGTAACTATGTGGAGGCAAAGCTAGGATTATCACTGTCTACTTTTGCATACCATAGGCTTGCTGAATGAGCCCCATGGAGCACTGGAACCTTTCTGTCATTTGTATGCACACTGGTAGTGTGCTTAATACTATACAATTTGCAGTCTGTTTTGTGGTCTCAGAATATATGGTATTTAATATATTTGTAGTACATTGCATATATGTGATATACGTATGATGTATTTCACAGAAAATAGCAATGTAACTTTACCTTTTGTACAGCAAACTCTGTCTCGGAATACTGATTCTAACTGAAGGTATAGTGAGTGTTTTTAATGGTCCAGAAGTTGGGTTTTAGCAGTATGTAAAAACTTACATTCTCTTTCGCTTTCCTTCAGCTGGACCATATAGTGGTTTAGGCGAAGTCATCCATCGAGAGAGCGTTCCAATGCACACATTTGCCAAGTATCTCTTCACGTCTCTCCTACCTCATGATGCTGAATTGGCATACAAAACTGCACTGAGAGCCATGCGGTATGTATTCACGAGTCATCTAGAAAGAGCACAAGTAGCAGTTGGGAAAAGGGGAAAAAGCTTGATAATCTAGACTACTCTTTTTTTTCTAAAAGAAGCATTTTCTCCTTTAAGGAGAAATTATCTCTGTTCTGTTATCTATAAAAGCAATTGATGTCTGTAGTAACTACAGTATAATAATTTATAAATGTACAATTAGTCTTTATGTACAACTGTAAAACAGCATTCTCTGTCACAAGTCCTTCTAGAATCCCACTCTTGGGACATGAGGTTTTGTGTTCAACAACAGCCTTAGCATATGCATTCTCTCACCCATGTGGTTGGGGGGGGTGGGTGTGATAGTATTGGTAAGAAAATGAGGAAAGAGACATCTCACCAGCAGTCTCGGGATCATCTGCTGCTTAGCCTGTTTGGGAGGACTATTTGTTCCACTGGCCTTCTTTATAAATTGACTCTTTGTGATAGATTTGAAACCATATGGTGTGGTCTAAGCCAGTACATTTTTCTTGTGCTTCATAGTGAAGCAGTCTTACCCACTTCTGGGTGAATGTTGGTATTTAAGTGGAGTATGTCATACAACAACAAAATGTCTGACTTGCATGCCCTTTGTCTTCAGTAATCAGGAAAAAGATGTTTCTCAGGGAGTGTTCAGTATGTGCTGGCTTTATCTCAAGGCAGGCCAGACTGATAGTGAGGGCTAGGAAAAGCCTTCTGAAGGAAGTTTCAAGGGCCTAAATGATCAACGATAAATCTGTTGTCCACGTACAATGCAGAGAAGAAACTGGTACCATCTGAATCATCTGATTGCAGTCAAGAACCCTGTAGTTCATAGTTGACAAAGAATAGCCACAACTGACTACTAAGAAAGTATTATTTTCCTGGTCATTATTATCAAGAATGATCGTATAGTGATTGAAGGACACACTAGCCACATAAGTAGTATTTAGCTTCATCAGACAGATTGCATCCTAGTAGTTTGGAAATGTGTATTCTGGAGCTAGTTTCTCAGAAAAACTAAATGGGGAGAAAGTAATTCTGTGTTCAAAGGACTAAACAGGAGGGCAGACATAACAACAAAACATAGCTACTGTCAGGTCAGGCCAAAGGTCTGCTTAGCTTGGTTGTTTTTTACCTCCAAGAGTGTCTAGTAATGGATGTGGAGAGTCTAAGAAATATGAAGAGTGACCTTGCATACTTGCTGGTTATGGTTAGCATTTTAGGAAATAGATTGAGAAGACAAAAGTGCATTACTGATGAACTATTGCAAATGTTCAAGTGCATGATGGGAAAACTGTGTGGGCCATCTAAATACACACGTCTTCTTTTATCGCAAGTTAAGTGCATCAGTAACCCTGGTCATATCAGATCAGCAAGATAATACAAAATGTGGTGGGTGGCGTTTTTTGTTTGGCTTTTTTCCTTCTGTTTTGTTTTTTGTGAGGTTTTTTTTTAAAAAAAGGGTCAATTTTATAAAGTAGACTTAATGTGGTGGGTGGCGTTTTTTGTTTGGCTTTTTTCCTTCTGTTTTGTTTTTTGTGAGGTTTTTTTTTTTTAAAAAAAAGGGTCAATTTTATAGAGTAGACTTGTATCCTTGTACTTTAGTTACTACATTAAAGTGTTACTCAGAGATTTTGTGTGGAGTTTTCCTCCTTAAACTGAACTACTGCAACCATGCTGAAAGGCTGGAATAGACATCCATCAACAGCTTTGCACAGTGCACTGAACGCTTCAGTGAACGTGACAGCAGCATGCCATTCCTTTTGAACAAGGATTTGGGATTTCCCCAGAGACCAATCATAACTGAAAACTTCTTTTCTGGAAGTTTCCTTTCTCAACAGGAAAAACAAGCAAGATACTGAAAGATCCAAATGATGAAATCTGCGGTTAGTCATGGGTAGCTCCAGCCACCTTTTGGTATGAAACTGTCATCTCAGCCAAAGAAGTTAGTGTAAGAAAGAGTTGTCTGTTCTGTTTCTGTCTGGTAGAATCACAGGAGACATCAGCGTTCTCAGGGCTGTTCTCCATAGCCCTTTTGTCATCACTTTATAAGGCAGATGAGAGTTCAGCTCTAGACAATAATCAGTCTTTCTATATTTTGATATTTGACACTCTTCAGAAAGGTGGACTGCTATCTTGAATTCTGGCGATGGCAGATTTAGACACTTTCTATTCCATGTCTGTCTGCGTTCCGCAGCATTTCTCAAATTCTCCTGAAGAAGGTTGGTTGCTCTCTCCATTTGCACCAAAGCGATTGTTTAGTGTTTAAAGGACTCCCAATGCAAACTAAATGAAAAGGTAACTTAGTACTTTCTTGAGGGGAGAAGAAGAAAGCAAACCTGAAGACTTTCTGTCTCATAGTTGTAGGTTTGAGTGGATCAGAAGAGGAAAATTTGAGCATCTTTTCCATGGCATTGAGGAAGTGGCTGCGACCATGGACAAAAATCTCATGTGGAAATTAGTAAAGGTGCTGCATAGAAATCTGTGTCGTTGCTCATGCTTTTAGAGGTGAAGTGTATTTCCTGCTTCACTTCAACATTTATTAAAGAAGTTAGCTTCCCAAGACGCCGACTAGTTGCTCTGCAGACAGAGGTGTTTAGTGTCAGTCTGCACACAAGTGTGCATGGGTCAATGACCTGTGGTAGCAGCTGTGGAGTATTTTACCTATCTGTATTCAAAATCATCTGCTGCTGTTTCATTTTTTAAATCTTATTTTAGTGTGTGAAACACTGAGTATGAAATCAATGGAAGTTGAAACCATAAAGTCTTTCATGCATACGCCTTGGGTCTGCAAGGACAGTGTTGTGCTGTCCTTGATGGTCACTTCTGTCTACAGTTCTCTGCTTGCAGCACTGAAACAATGGAGTGGAGCCTTGGAGAATGTGGATCTGCAGTGACCTAGTTGACTGCTCACTTGGAATCTGAACTTGAATGTTTGGCTTAGTTTGGCTGATCCCTTGTTAAGCCTGAATTTCACCCAGGCTTTGGGAGCCAGACTTTAGTGGTGATGTTTAATCACACAGTAGCTTTGCTAAAACCTAGCTAAATAATTGATGTTTGAAAGGGGTGTGGGAGGGAAGTGAAGAATGCTAAATCTGCTTGTGCTTGTTCTGATGTTCCCTAATCTTGCCAAAATTGCATGAAAGCCACCAATTCACAGCAGCACTTCTTTTCACAGCAAAAGAACATAGAAACTGGCAATGAAATTCAAAGTGACAAAAGATTTCCCCAAAACGGACTCTTTCTTTCATGCTCTTTGTCTATTTACTGTTACTCATAACTTAATAATCCCTTTTTGCGTTAGGTAGTTGGGATTTTTTTACTGTTTATTGAAACCATCTAATAATGCATCTCTCCCACTACCCTCTCTCCATGCTTGGAAAAAATCAGCTGAAGACTTTATATACTGAAAAATAAAATACATATAAAGCTATATAATTTGACTCTAGAAAAAAATCAAAAGGGAAGTATTCTTTTTTTTCATATTAGCATGCACATACATGTGTCTGAAAATGTTAGTATAACCTGCTGATAGTTATTTATATGGTGTGTTGTATTTATATATGCCTGCTAGATACCCTCCCAAATAGTCAAAATTACCTTTCTGAGGGAATTCTTAAAGATACTCTCATATGGTTCAGGAACCTACAGAAAACTGATGGAACTTAAAACTATCCTACTGCAAAAAAACCCCCATGCACTCCAGTTACTTAAAGAACTTAGGTATTTATTTAAGTGCAAGAAATTGTAATTTATGTTTAAATGAGCTTACGTCATAAGAAATATTCTGTCACAGAAAATCACAATTTATTGGATTTTCAATGTTCAGTAGTTGCAATTTTATTGGCAAAAGAGGTCCAGTTTCCTTTGACTTCCCAGATGACTTCCTGTTAGAAAATCACTTGTACATGAAAACTGGTAGAAACAGAACTTGGATGTTAACCCTGATCAAGAAGCTAGGCACCAGAAAGGCTTTTTTTCTGGACGTTGTCTCTTTACTATCATTTGATGTCTCATTAACCATTCATGTCCTGAAACTATGCTGAATTGTATTGAATAAAAATGCCTTTTTTTTGTTCACTCCTACTTTTTGCATTGGCATTTATGTAGTATGTAGTGTACTGGTTATAGGTAGTGTATTGAAGGGTCATCAGTTGAGTCTCTCTTGTGTTGTAGTAGTCAACAACAAACACATTAATTTGAATTATCTAAGTATGAATTCACCTTGGTGGGTAAGACTGTTGTAGATTGATGCATAGTCGAAGAAATTTTTGCTTCAGGATTAGAAAATGGAGTCTGAAAAGTAGCTTTAAAGGAAACTTCCTCCATCACTGCTGCTTGGGACTCTTAACATCAGATTACGGTACATTATAAAATGTTGGTAGGCTAAAGTTTGAGAACTTCAAAAAGTAGTCATAGTTGAACAGTAAAATGTCCTTTATGGACATAAATTCATGTCTGAATTTATTATGAGATGAAAATCTGAATTGTTGAATATCCCTCTCCCTTACTTTGAGCATTTGTAACGTTCCAAATACTGAAAAATATTTACATGTTCTCCGTACAGTGGAGAACTACTCCACTTCCCTTCCTGAGGGCTGTTGTTCAAAGACTGAAACAAGGCAGGAAGAAAAGCTTCAACTCTATTAATGACGCAGGAAGTCTCTGCCTTGGCTAATGAGTAGCTTAATTGTCCTGTGAATTCCTGCAGATGCCCACTGATACAGGCAAATTTGGCAAATGGACTTTTAAGGTTCCCCAAGAAAGAGAAGCAGTTTTCCAGTCTTTTATTGATAACCAAAGAGGTGCATTTCATAAACAAGGTCAGGTGTTCTTGCAGCTTTAGTTTTATTCATGAGTAACCTAATATAATAATGATTTAATGAAAGAGGATTTCTTCCTTATTTCAGGTTGCTAGTATTGGAATCTACAGCTCCTTCGGGAGACATGTCCCGCCCGCACCACATTGCATCAGTTGTTCCAAACCGATATCCTCGCTGGTTCACCCTAAGCCACATTGAATCCCAGCAGTGTGAGCTGGCATCGACCATGCTAACAGCAGCCAAAGGTACATTGCTGTCAGTTATGTACTCAACTGAACATATGCTTTTAATATTGCGTGGAGTAAACAGACTATAGAATTTGTGTTCAGGAATCTAAATTGCAGCCTGACAGGAGTTTGAAATGGCTGCAACAAATTGAACTGACTTAAACTTGTCACTTAATTTTCTAGCAAAGTAGTTAAGCTAGTTAGATGGTAGCCAGATGAGCTTGATTTGAGGCTGATGAGACAGTTTTTTGTTCTTCTGACGCATGACGTAGACTGTGAGACCCAGGAGTGGACAAATCACTTCTAAAATTCACAAGTCAGGATAACTTTTGGCCCTGTACTACACTAGCACCATCAGGCACTAGAGGAGTTTGTGCTGTCTTGTGTCTTTCATTCATATGTGATTTAACTGTGGAAGGTTTCTAAAAACAGAATATGTGTAATTGAAACATCATACTGCTGCATAGCAACAGCAGACTCTGAATGTTTTGGGAGTTTGTTCTGTTTTGGTGATTCTGTTTACGCTTTACAGGTGATGTTCGGAGGCTGGAAACAGTGTTAGAATCCATCCAGAAAAATATCCACTCCTCATCGCACATTTTCAAACTTGCCCAGGATGCATTTAAAATAGCAACACTCATGGACAGCTTGCCAGACATCACTCTACTGAAAGTTTCTCTGGAGTTAGGCCTTCAGGTATTTCCCTCGTTTATTACTGTTACAGTAGAAAAAAGGAATTTGACCCAGTGTTGGAGGGTATAGCTTTTAAATACTGAGGACCGTACCCTCTTTACCCTTGCTCTAGTTTTTAGATTCTGTTTCCTGATACAAAGCTCAATGCACTGGTAAACACAGACCAAGGGTCTGCATAGCCCCTTTGTGCCATTTCGGTGGAAGAGAGAGCTGGGAACGGCTGGTTGCAGGGCAGTCTTCTGTTCAGGGGTGAGAGAGGACTAGTGCAATGGGTTCCAGAGTATATGTAGGACTGGCTAGAAGGCAGAATTAGCCTGCTTGCCGGAAATGAACTGTATTTTCTGCATGACCTTGAGGGTTGGGTTTCTTACCATTCCTTCCCTTCCTTGCCCCTAAATGAGATTTGGTAGGTGGTTGTTGAATTATTAGAGGAAGCCAAGGTCAACCATAATGACCCATTTCTAAGGCAGACTATGCTAACAGCAGCCCTCTCACTTCACCAAAATCCTGTACTCTGCAGTCTATGGGGTGATCAGATGCATGAGACTCAGCTTGAGGTATACTAGAACATCAGATCAGTTTTCAGGCTCTTAGGAGAGACTTTGCAAGCTAAAAGGAGACAGCTAAGTTTTAGGTATCTGGAGTATCTTGGAGTTTATCAGTTCACTTCAACAAAAATAAATCTCTTCATCCCTCTTCAGGGAGTTCTTAAAAAAAATGTGCAAAGATCAGAAAACCGTTTATTACTTGGCTTCAGTAAACAAAGCTCCAAAGAATTCTGGGGAAAGGATATTATCCCAGTTTCTTCTTATGCCAAAGAAAGGTACTGTTTGCCTCTTCTAGGTGTTTAGAAGCTAAAGTCTTTAATCAGAAAACTGAGATTCTGTATGCTTTGTTAGCCTTTCATACTCCCAAGGTTGCTGTGGAAATCTGCTGCTTTTTTCACATCTTGCTATGTTTCTGCCTTAAATGTTTGTTTACCTAAGAGAGAGAAAGATCCTTGTGATTGACCTGTGTGTCACCTCAGGCATTCACCAAGTATCATTCAGTGGTAGCAGGGCACTTTGGATGTCACTGTATTCATGGATACCCCTTTGTGGTTTCTGGTGTCATCAGAATGTCTTCAGTGAGATCTAGTGAAAGAAATATCATGAACCCATACTTCCTTCTCAGTCCCAGGGTTTGGAACAAACTGTCCCAAGCTTATGAAAGTGTTTTAAGAATCTTAAAGGTAGTTTGCTTTCCAGAAGGAAGATGCATAGCAGTTTTCTGGTAGTAACTCACAGCTGTGTGGATTTTTGCAGTAATACTTTTCCTGCAAAAACCTTAGTGTCAGCACTGTCTCTGCTGGCCTACAGATGCTTTCCCCTTTCCTACCCCTACCACTTAATGACAATTAGATTGTCTGTATTCACCACCTAGTATCTGACTACTTAGGACATTTACATGCCCTAGAAAACTCTTTCTTCCCTCATATGCTAAACAGCAGTGTCCTCGCAAGTATACTATTCTGCCTCAGCTACATCAGTGACAAGTTGGCCTGGTTGGGCTGAGGAGATGATACTGACAATTTCACAACTCTGTCACTGGGATCTCTGGGACAGAAAAGCCTCTTACATTGATCTAGATTTGGGAGTAATGTGTAGACTCCTGGGTTCTTTCTCCCTATTTCCAATGGCAGCATGTGTTACATGACTCAGCAGAGGGAAGGCTTTTAAACTGTCTGTGGAAAGAAGTCATCAGCATGGCCAAATGGGCAAGGATTATCTCAGGTATATTCTGTCCTTCAGAACCTTACTGGCACAGACGCTCTAAGATCTGCAGGTTCAGGAGGGGCTTCTGTTCCTCTGTCTGTTGTGTGCTGCATCAGTGCAAGTAAGTATTACTGCACACATGCAAACTGTACTGCTGGCAGAACTGCTGAACAAGTTAGTGCAGGTGATCACTCGATGTGTATTTGGCAAGTGCTATCCCTTCCCCTCAGATCTGTGAATGAATGAATAAATAAATAAACCTCCTTCCAACATGCATGATGGAGAGGTTTTGCATTGGTGCGGGAGTTAATGGTTGGTTAGCCATTTCTTCTATCTCTTACAATTGGTGAGATCTTCTGTTCCTCTAACAATCTTCTAAAGATCTATGAAGACAAAGTCAAGATTATCCTGTGTGAAAGAGAGCTTGGCTATGTGATTCCCAGGGGCCTCTTACCATTTTCAGACTTCCTGTCTTACTGAGAAGCTCTCTTCAGTTGATAGCACAGATCTTGGATAGATCTTGGACAGACGTAGAACTTCCTTTTAGGAAGAGGTAGCTCAAGAATGTATTGAGCAGAAGTGAAATAGTTCTTTGGTTACATGTGCCACAGTATAAATTAGCTTCAGCTCCTCCTTGGTCAGGACATCAGTACATACTTTGTTTGAAATACTTGTGGTTTTGTATCATCAGTAAAGAGACCATCTCTTGCTGTTCTCAACTTGTCAGTTTAATCAAATGAAGGGAACCTAATTCCAGAATAGTTCGTCAAGAAACTTTTCCATGTCAAGAAACTGTATATGGTATTGATTTTTTGCTCTCGAGTTATGACTGGCTACACTGGAATGACTATAATGCCCACTACATGTGCTGGAGGCTCTTGGGACTGCTGATCCTTTTACAGACCACCACAGTGAGGGAAGTCATCAGAGAAGACTTTCAGAAAAGTTGTCATTCACACCATTTTGGGTTTTTTGACTCCTGCTCTCTCTTACCAGTAGCAGAATTCAGCCATAACCCTGTGTTTTCTCTTGGATTCACTCTACTTGGGGGAAGCTGAAAATTCATCATGGATATTGGAAATGTGTTAGCCTTCAATTTGAGTGTGGGTCAGTACAGGAAGTCACCTAGACTGCTTCCCTTTGGTGGACAGAATGGGACAGATAATTGCACTCCAAAACATTTTGACTTGGGACTGCCTGTTTTTCTTCCAGAAAGACTTCCAAGTGAAGGCTGGTTCCATGGTTTACCTTAGCCATATTTTCATATTTTAAAATGTGCTGGGTTGCTTCTTCCAGATCAATTTACTTTCTTTCAAAATACTTCTCTCCAATCTAGCACTTACGTTACTGTTTAGTTAAAATGATACCACAATGTCTGAGCCAACAAAGCTGGCCTTATCCTGTAACTTTTGGGTGATGTACAACTGGTCACCAGGGTCTCAAGGTGGGAATGTTTGGAGGCCAGCTTGGAACCACTCATGGTCGCTTATAACCAGACTTCTTAAAGATCATCTGTGCCTTTGTGCTCCTCAGCAATCTTTTCATCGTCTTCATTATCCTATCTATAGTATAGGACTAAAGGAGTTGACAGGAGTAACAAATATGACAGAGGGCTACATGCCACTTTGAAGTCGCCTTAAGACTGAGGGGGGACATGGGTTGAGAATCCTCTTAGAAATGCTGCTAACTCCAAGCAGTTTGAGTGGATTGTTGTTTTAATATGTAGAGATCATTGCTGAGAGCTCTATGATTGACCTATTCTGCTCTTTATTTGTAATACCATAATATGATCACTGGTGTTATAAGTGGAAAACTTGCTTACTTTCTTCATCTAGATATCTTTGGGGTCTGTCCAGGTAGCTGAAGCAAGTTTTACATGCAGTGTTTGTTTTACTGAAAAAACAAATTTGCCTATGTTTTAAGAAACAACATAGGCAATAACTACAAGTGATACAAAATACAGACACTACAATCAAAGCTTAAAATTCTTTTTCTAGGATTCTGATGGTTTCACAATGGAACTTCTTTGCAGGGACTGCTTGTTCAGAGAGAAATCATAGCTGTGGATTTCTTAATAGTACCTGTATATAACTGGAATTGTTTCTTTAACTTTGCTGAATAAGTAGCCAGTCAAATCACAGTACTCTTAACTCTTGTCTGTATTGTTGAAGTCAATGAAGAGAAATGCAGATGAGGGGAAAAATTAAAGCGGTTAGTTTGCCCAACAAGAGTTGACACATTTTCACTTTAAAGACTACTATGCTTAGAAGGAGACATGATGTAATTTAATTTGAATAAGTGATAATTGATTGGGCTTTTTTTGTTGTTTGGGGGGGGCTTTTTTGTGGGGTAACTTTTTTCTTCTCCATGTATAAAACAGTGTCTCTCCTCTAGCCTTGAAGGGTCTGCAGTTGGAATTACTCTCTGCATGGTATTCTAAGATAGCTGAGCAGTATTTGTCAAATCTTTTGACGTATCGGCTAAAAAGAGGTAACAGAGTGGAGAGGGCAAGAGGCTGCCATTTTGAACATTAGTGTATTTGACTAACTTAAAAACCCTAGTATTTGGTATATTGCCTTGATTTGCAATAGGACTAATTTGTATCTTGTTTGTGTTGTTTTAATAGGTGATGCGAATGACGCTGTCGACACTGAATTGGCGACGGCGGGAAATGGTGAGGTGGTTGGTAACATGTGCGACAGAAGTAGGTATGTTCTGAGATGCTTTTCTCATCAGCTAATCTTAGAGGGCTTGATCTTGCTTATCAACACCCAGGTTCTGCGAATGTCTCCCCCTTTCTGTTCATCTATAAATGTCCTTTGGTGAGAAGTCATTATGTCAATGATAAGTGAGGTTTTTCTAGGCACAGACCAAGTGAGATAATAGTTGGGTAATGTAGTGTGACTTTTCCCCCACAAGGTGAGGGTGTGCCTAGCCTATGGGAAATACCCCAGATTTCCCCTTGTCCAGTCCATAACAGGTTTGGATTTGAGGCTGCAGTAGAGAAAGGCCTCGTGGTTATGGGCTGTTGCACTGTACTACAACTTTGGTTGCTCTGAAAGGCAGGTGAGAGCTATCTGATCAGCTGTGGGAAGAGGAACCAGAAAACAGGTGAATGAAATGCTGGGGTTGCCTTGTACTGTGTGGCAGATGGGATCTCATGAAGGAGTTCTCAATTGTTAGGGTTTTTTTAAGCCCCTGGGTAAGTCCAAGCTTAGAGTGTAATGTATCTTTGTTATGTGGCTATGACATTGTGCAGGCCTGTTATCTGCACTGTAAAGCAAACCAAATACCAATGCAGTAGTTGTTAACCACATAAGGTGAAAAAAAGGTGGGAGCAGAACCAGCCTTACACTTAGAGGACAGCAGTGGAAGAATAGCGCACTCATCAGGATGTTCTGATCATTTTTGGGCTTTGCCATAGATTGCCTGTGTGTCTTGATGAGGCGTCCCTTAGCTTCTGTATTCCAGTTTACCATCTGCAAGATGAAGATGCAGAATCTGAAAGTGAAGATGAGTGCATTAAAAGCTGTGTAGCTGTTTAAAGAAAAACAAAAAAAACCCCAACAACCGAAACTGAACAAAAACCAACCAAACAAAAACGCAAACAACAGAAAAACCCCCAGCAGCTCTGGTACTGGGGACAATTATAAGTACTTGTGATAAGGAAGCGGTTTTAATTGTCACTAAAGGTATTTCTGGAAAGCATGCTTCCCTACTGTATTTATTCCTTTTTCATACATCTGAATTGGATTGTTTCGCATAGATGCTTCTTGAGTTTCACAACTTCAGAGGATTATTCTCTGGATTAGTTTATTCTTTGCTTTGTGCTTAACTGGGAAATTAACCTTGTTAGTGGCATGGGAAAATACTGCTTGCCTTTATATGTCCTCAGCCAGAAAGTGGTTTGTGTCTGCAAATTTTCATCCAATGCTCTTGTTTTATTGCTTTTATATCTTTGCTAAGATAATTATTGCTGAGGCTATCTTACAGATATTAGTGCCTGGGTATTATTTGGTGCAATTGCATATCAGCAAATAAAATGGTGGTTTTAATACTGCTTTAAATTAGTTTACATATTCTAGTGGAAGTATCCCATAAAGAACATGTAATGTCATGCAAAGTACTCTTGAGACTTGATTAAGTTGGTAAAGCAAGGAATCTGTTTGTTTAAATGAAGATCTGATATTCTCTGGCTATGCTGAGTTGTGCACATAAGTGAAGAGGTGCGCAGGAAGCGTCAGAGTCCTACAGAGAAAATGAGGACCTCTGGGTGTGGTTTAGGCGAGCTCACAGATGTGTGTAAACTGCCTCTAGCAGTAATAAGGCACTCTAGTTGGCTATAAGGTTCAACTTATGGAACCCATTAGTCACTGTTTTCCCCCTTCCTTCTCCTGCCAAACACACACAAACATACACACACCAGGAATAAAGTGATACTAAGGAAAATACCTATTTCATGTTGCTCAGGTTATTTCCCTAATAAGGATCTTGATGTTCAGACACATACGAATTTGATACAAGATGTAGCTGAGAAGCCTGTTGGCAGGAGGTGCGGGTTAGGATTTTTTCTTTCTTTCTTTCTTTAAGGTGTGCTTAGTGTGTTTGTTAAGGTGTGCCATGGTGTTCTATTAAGAAAGCCATTTAGCATACTTTCATATTCTTTTGTACATGCGCTGTGCCTTGAGATGCACAGTGAGAAGTTAAAATTGCCTTTGGAAAATGTTCAGTGTGAGGATTGCTTTTGAGTGATATGATGAGACCAAATGAGCCAGAACTCGTTATCCAAATTGTCTTAAATAATGAAAAACAGCTCAGTTGTCACACCAGGAGATTAAAGCTTATCTTGCAGGCTTTTTTTGTTATTTTCTGCATTTTGGTGATTGCTACAAAGTTTGCACAGTAGCCTTTGTCCTTTTCCAGCCATGTTATCTGGTTTAGCCCTTCTTGCTGAAGTGTATCCCCTTGGATGTATTGGCGACCTCTTAGACTTTGCTGCAAATGTAATCTCTTGCTGAACATCTGTTTCTGCTAGGTTTTATCAGCTGTGACTAATCCTTTCTTTCTCTCCCCAGGTGTTTATGCACTGGATAGTATCATGCAAAACTGGTTTACACTTTTCACTCCAACAGAAGCCACTAGTATTGTTGCTACAACAGTGATGTCCAACAGCACCATTGTCCGTCTGCATCTGGACTGCCATCAGCAGGAGAAGTTAGCTGGCAGTGCTAGGACGCTTGCTCTACAGTGTGCCATGAAGGATCCTCAAAACTGTGCCCTCTCTGCACTGACCTTATGTGAAAAGGATCACATAGCTTTTGAGACCGCTTACCAAATCGTTTTAGATGCTGCTACAACCGGCATGAGCTACTCGCAGCTTTTTACTATAGCACGTTACATGGAGCACCGTGGTTACCCCATGCGAGCCTACAAGCTGGCCACTTTGGCCATGACACATCTCAACCTGAGTTACAATCAGGACACACACCCTGCCATTAATGACGTTCTGTGGGCATGTGCGCTCAGCCACTCCCTTGGGAAAAATGAGCTAGCAGCTATAATACCTCTGGTGGTCAAAAGTGTCAAATGTGCAACAGTACTGTCAGACATTTTGCGTAGGTGTACTTTGACCACTCCTGGCATGGTGGGACTTCATGGAAGGAGGAACTCTGGTAAGCTCATGTCACTGGACAAAGCCCCTTTACGGCAACTCTTGGATGCCACAATTGGAGCCTACATTAATACAACTCATTCACGTCTCACTCACATCAGCCCACGACACTATAGTGAGTTTATAGAGTTCCTCAGCAAGGCCCGAGAGACCTTCTTAATGGCTCATGATGGTCACATCCAGTTTACACAGTTTATTGACAACCTAAAACAAATCTACAAAGGCAAAAAGAAACTGATGATGCTGGTTCGTGAGCGGTTTGGTTGATGAAAATGTGTGAATGGGGAGATTGGGGGATGAGGGGGATGGTTTGTTTTTACTTGAGCCTGCCTTTGTATCCTTTTTAACTTAAAGAAACAGAGCCACACCGGTATTATATGTGTATAGTTATATTGAGTTTGCAAACTAAACTGTCATATTGTGAAAGTGTGTGTGTTTAATTTTTTTCTCCTTTTTTCTGTTTTGTATGAGAGAGGGGTTAAAAAATGTTTGGTTTACACTGAGTATATGTTGTCAAGTGGCAAAAGCCCACATCGCTCTCCTGTTCTTTCTGTATACGTTCACAGCCTCAAAAACAAACATATATTGCAATGGCTTTAAAAACCAAACAAAACACCTCCATCCTGTGATAAGTACCTCGAATGGATTCAGCTTTACTCCTTTGTAACTCATCCTTACATTTCAGCATATTTAAACAAACCAACAAATGAAATACTAATAGTTAAAAGGCTGACCACGTGGCTTTGCAGTGCTGTTCATCCAGAAGCATGGCACACAATGCTTGTGCATGTGGAAACTTAGCGACTGTCAACATACATTCTCAGGGATTTATCAAAAAAATTAAAAAAAAGAATGAGAGCATTTATTGTACTGTATATATATTATAGTATATGTCTGAATATTGAAAATATAACATTAACTAATTTATAAAAAAATCTATGTAATGCAAAATACTTGAAGCTGCAGTAGCTTGGTTTTAAACAAAAAAGAAAACCTATCAGAAGGACTAAAGTGCGCCTTGCTTCAGGGTTGGCTCAGGTGGTGAACTATATGCTGGGCATCTATGCAGAGCCACCTTTTGGATTGCATGGTTGGACTGATACCTAATGGGGAAATTTTATATATATATATTTATACAACCCGTGTATACATATATATGTATACACACATACACACATGCTTGTAACAGGCACTATAGTAAAGAGGGACAACAAAAAATACACAGCCAGAGCAGCAAGCCTTAGCATTAAGAATACAGTATGCCAGAATCGGGGTTTGTGCCTCCTAGCCTAGAAGACTTAAAGAAATATCCTTTTTGACACAAAACACAAAAATGTTTTCCAAAATGATTGACATGATACATTACGCCTTTGCAGTGAGCTAATAATAAGCTAACCTTTGTGCACAAATAACATATATATATATTATATATATATATTCTGCATAGGTATTTTGACTTTGTGCAGGACAGAAAGTTGTGTAGGTATGACTGTTCTACTTTTCAGTTTGTTTTTTTAATATATTTTATTTTCTCTAGAATTACTCAAACAGAAGCAGCCTTCTATCTTGCCTTGTCTTAATGCTTTAAAATAACCAAACTGGAGATCTAACTACCAAACTGTTCATTATATTATTAAATACCAACTTTGGTTACAGTATAGTGTCTTTACTTTAGCTGATGGTTCTGTATCCTTGTGCTTTTTAAAGCAGTTTTTATGTTTTGGTGCAAAAGTTGTCCAGTGTCTCTTGTTCCCTTCATTAGAGAACATGCTAGAGGTATGTTTGTAGGTATTTTTGTTTAGAAAAACTATTTCATGCTCTCCATTTTATTTATTATAATAGGTAAAAAGGTTGTACTTCATCACCCATGTAAACATGCTCATGAAGTTGAAAGTAATTAAAATTTGATACACTGATATCAATTTATTTATGTAACTAAATCACTGTTTTATAAACTTGTTAATGATCAACAATTTTTTTTGTTTTGATTAAAATTAGTTTTTTGAAAGTTGATTCAGCCTCCTTTATGTTGTATGTTTCTGGAGTTCAATTGTGTACAGATAGTACATAGATCTTAAAGGCCCAGCTTTCAGCCTTGGTGTGTTGTGGTGGTAAGCAATATGGCCACCAAACCCAGGAAAGAAATGTTTTGTTGCTCAAGTCTGCTGAGGAATGGTAGTGTTCACAGTTGCTGGTGGAAGAAGAGGAGCAACCACGTGCTGCCTGTGACTGAGAATGATGTGGTCTATGCAATGAACAGTAAGCCTTGACATATTGCCCTGGTGGGATGGTAGAGTGTGTGGGAGTATGTTTGCACTCTGGATTATTTGGGTGACCATGAGAGCTGAGATGTGCTGCGTATATACACCAGGACAGTTCTTGCTCTTACTGGATTGACTTTTCTAAAGTTTTTTTGTGTATTTCGAGCCATGCAGCGCATTCCACCCAGCATGGAGTTCTTGCTCACCAGCTGACAGCCAACATTTCTGCTTTTTTGGAGCCCTTGCTCTGTAGGAGTTGTGTGAGGGTTTTTTTTCCATCCCTCTGTGAAGAAAGGGATACAGCATGGTTGAAAGTGGAAGAGGAACTTTCTGCTTTACCAGCATCTTTACCATCTTAGGAATGTTAACATGATGTCATACTTGACTACATGATCTGAACACCTTCACCTTTTTTTTTTTTAGTATCTTCAGCTGAAAAGAGAATTAGCTGCAGCAAGCAACTATCAGAGATGCCAGTGTAACCATGAATTCTCAGAGTGAGGCTTGTGTAACTGGAAGATTAAGGAGGAAAAGATCTGAATCTTTGTCCAACTTTTCACGTAAAATATGAGCCTTTAGACTTGCCCACAGCAGAGTTGTCCTGACCTGTGTACTAACCTTCTGTAGCTTCTGTGACTTCTATCCCTTCCAAGTATTGAATCCTCATATTTTTTTTGCTTAGTTACTTTGTCCTAAATGTTTTTTCTGCTACAGACAGTAAGGAACAAGAGGGATACTCCATTCTGTAATAGGGGTTGCATGGGTGTTGGATTTGAGGTTTTTTTACCTCTTACAAATAATTCAATATAAAGTATATTGTGGATTATGTAGATAGCAAAACTGAAGCCTATTTTGAAGACCAGGCTTTGGAATTAAATGCTGTCCTGATGGTTGACACCTGCTTTTGATCAGCACAATGGCTTATTCTTCTTTCAAACCTGATGGAAGTTGATTTGGCTTGTTTTCAAGACTGAGTAAAATCTCTTTTGTGTCCACGGTGGTGCTGCGCAATGCAGTTAAAAGCCCTTAAGGACCAACAGAGTCTTGGCCAGTCTCTGTAGCAAACATGTCTGTAAGTATGTACTGCTCTTGTCCTCTGGAGGTAGGAAGAACCCAGGAATGGGATTCCACAAAAACGCCTGAGGCCTGTTTTGGTGAAAACTGATCAAATATTTCTAGAATTCCTAAAACTACATATTGCAATTCATTCTGAAGCATAAGGAAGCTTAGTCAAAATACATCTCAAATTCCTTATCTTCTCTTCAGAGCCGTATATTTGAGAGAGACAACTGAACAGCACTGCTGTCATTCTCTCCAAGTGTTTCAGTGCTTTTCAACACTCCTTTAAATGAGAACTTTTTGTAATTCCAAGTTTGCGATTCAGTAGTGAAGGGAACTGGGCATGATTCTTCCATGTCATAGAGTACCAATGATTCTTCATTCTCTCAGTGAGTTGAGCGAAATCCTAAAAGATGTGATGTTATTTCTATATTATGAGGCTATCTTGCAGCCCAAGAAACTGACTTTTGCCCGCAAGTTTGTTTTCAGATTTGCTTTATTGATTCTGCCAGAACAGAGGCCAGAGAGATTTCCTGACCCAAATTACATTACCTCCATTTAACCTTTTAGTGTTTCAACACTTACTTCATTTCCACATCCAGTTTTCCCATTACAGAAAACTGCACAACTTTTCAGGATGAAAAAAAGAAAGGCAGGCACATACGGGAGGCTTGGACTTTAAGGTGTAACTGAAATCCAAGACTGCTTCCCTCGGAGTAGTTCATGTCTTACTCTCAAAATCTTTTGGTTTTAGTGCTATGGCAGTGGAGCTAAACCTGGATTGCATGTACATGACAAGGAATTTATTAGATTGATTGAGAGAAATTGCAGGTAATAATTCTGAGGCTAGAGCTTCAACAAGAAGACTGTGACTGTATTTCACCATGGTTGTCTGGAACAGGTGGAGCTCTTTCAAGACAGTGGACCTGCTAATAGGTGCAACCAGTGCTTTGGATGACTAACTGACAGTTCTTGAAGTACAGATGAAATTCTGAAAGACTTTTTTTTTTTTTACTATCAAAAAGTAAAATGCGGTTCCTAGTATTTTTAAGGATAGAAGATACTAGTGAGTGTTTTGCATTAGTAAATTTCTCTTCTATAGAAGGCCCATATTTCATAATTTTGGTTTTGTATCCATACAAAATTTTGTGCTGCAAGCTTTCAAAAGTCTCTGTGAAACTCACTTTTCAATAATGATTTAGTGTTATGTCAAATTAGTTTGAGCTACAATTTTCTTTCAGGTTTGTCTAGTAGCAATTAAGTTTCTCATGTAAGTGGGTGTAAGTAACATAAGTACATCAAAACTGGGGTGCTGCTTACATGGAGGGTAAACTCTGCTTTCTGAGTTGTGCCAATTTAGATTTGTAGTTCCATAGAGTGGATTTGCACTGGGAACAAACTTATTTCACTGAGATGCCTTCCATTTGATTAAAATACAAATTTTTACTGAAAAATCATCCAGCCTTCTATTTCTGCTTTGAAAACAAAAGTCCTATTAATTCATCTACTTTTAATGGATGGTATAATTTGAAAAAATAGCAACACAGCTGATTGATACTTTTACAGAATTGGGAAGTATGCTACCCTCCAGTATTCTCTTGCTCTGCAGTTCTGGCTAGAGATGAAGTGTTCATAGACAATCATTTTCCATCCTTTTAAGTGCTTGTCCCCTCAAAAGTATACTTCTGCAAGAGTAAGTGGGGAAGCAAGAAGCACAAACCACAAAGTGTTATGTCTAACCTTTGCCTTATGACAATGTAACGGGTAGTAAAGATTTAGGGGTTTTACAGCATATTACAAACTACAATGAGTATGAGATGAAAAGCTTTGTGAGATTCTTAATTGGAGAGACAACACAGTGTCAGGGATAACTTTACTCAGGAGAATAAGTTGCTAGGATTTGCCTCCCCTGTAGAAGTACACGCTCCATACTGCACATGGGAAGGCAAGAATCCTACCTCTGCTAATACCCTGGGCTCTCAGCGTCAAGTAGCACCTGGCTGTCAGCTGAAATGTTTGTGATCCATTCCTATGGGTAGTATCAGTACCCCTGAAGTTAGTATGAGTAGATCCTTGTATACTCTGAGAAAGAACCTGTCTTAAAAAGAAAATTACATCAGCTGCTAGATTTGCAGACATCTGCAAGGTCATAGGATCAAAAATTTCTATTAACGTGTATTGGCTACAAAGCACGTTATTTCTAAACCCAACCTTGACAGATTTCTATATCTTTTTGTTGTAGAAAGTGATTATGACTAGAAAGTACCACAGCCATGAACTGTCCCAGGAACCAGCCAGCAAGTAGTCTTTTACAGAGTTCTGTACCGACTGCATTTCATTGTTATAATTTTCCTTTTCTTCCTCTTTAGCCTTTGTCTTTTTGTGTATGTAATTTGAAAAGCTTTGTATTTGGAAAACTGCTTACCTGAAAGATGATGTGCTTGTGGTCTGATGATGTAAAATGAGCAATGGAGCTATTGCTTGGTAACCATGGCCCATGGTGTTGGAAGTATCTGTGGAGCAGTGAATGAGAAGGGTGAGGTGTTCAGTCACGGTTAGTGTAGGGGCTTGTGAACTGAGACCTAAGGCAGCAGCCACCGCTGCATACAGAACCAGCACTGTCTGCCTTTCCACCACCCCAGCCTTGAAATTGCTTGTCCAAGCACAGAGAAGTCTTGGTTTGGTGTCCCAGGAATGAAAGGCAAATCACTGTTCATAGAAGCATTCTGGAAAAGTCAAAAAATGGATGAGGGTGATTGAGGACAGAGCTAAATATTCCTTTGGTGAAGTTGCTGGAATTACATCAAGGCTAATCTTGGCAGACACTTCTGGGAAGCCAGTTAGTTATAAGAACAACAGTGGTGAAAGAAGTAATACCAAGTTCTGCCCAGACAGTGGGCAGTAAAAATCATTTGGGGTTTGTGGTCTCCAATTCCAGATGACCTGAATCTTGTTAAACTATTTTTAATGCTTTCTTAATCACCTAGCTTTTCCAACGCACAGGGAAACGAGTCAGGCAGGCTGCAAGTCGTCTCTTATCAGATGCATTGCAAATGGTACCACTGAAGTGCTCTGTCCTCTGTGAAAACAAGGGGTCTGGGACAAAGGTTGGCCTTGCTTGTGTGACCTTGCCTACATGTTAAGGAACACTTAGCAGCATGATCAAACCAATTCAGGAGGCTAAGGTTGCAAGAGGGAAAATTGCATTAAAAGCTTGTCCAGCAAGTTCCTCTTTGTATAATGCTTAACAGCAGTTGTTCATTTAAATGAGTGGAAATCGTGGTTTGTGAAGAAAACATGGTTTCTTTTGTGCCTCTAACTGACACTTTAAACATGTTTAATAGATCAGTGTGGTAACTAAAAATATCCAAAAATAACCACCAAAGTGGAAGACATGATTGTCCTGCTAACTTGTTGCTGCAAGGAACAAATGTACTCGAAGAAGAATTTCTTCACAGTCATGCTCTGCCTGCCTCGCTGTGAAGACGGAGCTGTGAAAGGCAGCTCTTACTGACAGCGCTGTGTCAGCACATCACCCCTCTCCTGCTGGTTCTGGTGGGAGAGAGGCTAAGGAGGTATTTTTGGAAGCTGTTTTGTTTCCTGAGTTTAAAAGCCTTTTTTCTCTAGCTACCTGATAGCTATGGTGTGGATGCAGCAGTAACCATGGGAAGACTCCCTGGTTACTCAGGATAT